CTAATTTAATTTAGAACAGTACTCTACAAGTAAGTAGTTATGACTAGTGGGTGGTAGGTACGTTAGGTTAAGTTGGTTTCTAGTATATCTGTGTACAAATTTTAATGGTGATCATTTAGGGTTCTACTCATATGGGTGTGGGAGGGTCTCATGGTATCATTACTAATATCATAATTATATGTTTCTAATAATTAACATTCCAATATGCATTAACTTTCATTACAATTTTATTAATATTATTGTAGTAATTCATGTATTACTATTTTATGACTTAAATTTTCATATTATAAAAACTAATTTTCAAATGGTGAAATAAATAGATTTGTGAAGCTTGAAGTAAAAGAACGTTGAAAAAGTTTATAGTAGAAAAACAAAAAGATGGATATGAAATGGAAAAAAAGAAAAATGGATATGTAATACATACTGAATTCAAGTATACCGGCAATTAGTCTCCTCCAATGTTCCAAGTTAAAGTAAAATTTAATAGCAGAATCCTTTAACTATCTTCCAGTTTTCTAATTTGAATAGGAAAATATTACAATTAACTCTCATCTAAATTCAAATGGATCTTGAACTCTATAGTTTTTCTTTTTTGTTTATGATGATCTTGAATTCTAAAGTTTGAAAATTGAACTTGAAATGGCATTTTGAATAAAGCATTTATAAAATCCTATTCACATTCAAAGCAAGGACCTAATCACACATAAATAATGTAATAGAACGGGCATCTTCTAAAAAATAAAATGCCAAGTGCATATTATTTTTAATACTTATTTCAAAATATACAAATTTTATGATTGTACTTTTAAAAACTCAAATTCTTTAAAATTATAGGTGATATTAAATATAATTATAATATACAATTAAGAATAAAAAGAATTAATAAATCAATTTAACCTGAGGATGTATTTACTAGTTATAACATATTACTAATAAAGTAATAACAAATCAATTAGGGTTTTTCATGAATATCATAATTATATATTTTTAATTATAAATATTCCAATATGTATTTATTTGTATTACAATTTCCTTAATATTAATTTAGTAATTCATGTATTATGACAATAATAAGTATAGTTTCATGAATTATAATTATGGAAATTATATAGAATTATTAAAATTAAAATTAATTATTACTCGTATATTCAAATAATAAAAAGAAAAGTACATGAATATATTATAATTAATTTAATTATAATATAATAATTTAAATTATTATAGTTTTCTGTTTTATTATAATAATATTAGAATAACATTAATAATGTGATTGTAATATTATAATGAATATTAACAAAATAGATAAATATAATTAACATCATAGATAAATATTACGGATATGTTTTAAAGGTCATGTACTTTCCAATTGGAAAATCATGTAATTATGTACGGGATCGCTTAACTCATATCAATATACTATTCTATCACATATTTACAAGATTATTTACATACTTGCTACATATCTACTTACTCTTAATTGCATATCTATATAATTATTTATGTGATTGCTTATTTCATTTCTACATGCAATGCACTAGTAAAGGGCAAGTCAGAGTACATGCAACGCAACTAGTAAATGGGAAGTCAGAGTACCTAGCACATACTTCCAGCAGCGATTGATGGAAAGTAATTGAGCCGTGGATACTTTTTAATCAATATTGAGTTAAGCCTTTGTGCAAATTGATCCACTATGAGTGCGGGGCCAGAGTTAAAAAAAATTAAAAAAATATATAAAAAATAAAATAATAATAATAATAATAATGGAGGAAAATAGGTCCCCATGAAGAAACAATGAAACATTAAACATTGGAGTCCAATTGACATGCTTTCTACTGGGAGGTCACATTATTATGGAACTTAATTATATGGACTAAACAAATTTAGAAGAAATCAAATCAAGCCTATCCTTAAAAAATGACAGTCCCTGCTTTTCCACCTAAACAGATTACTTCAAATAACTTTATGTAAATATGTTTTCATTTTAAGTAGGGCTGAGAATGGGTAAGCGTGGGTTCGAATCCGCCTGGATCCGGATCTGGATCCAAAAAGTATATATGGGTTCTAGATCCAGGTCTGGATCTGATGTAGAATATTTGGATTTAGATCTGGATTTCAAAAAGTATACATGAGATTCAGATCTGGATTCAAAAAAATTATTTTACACCCAGATTTGATATGAATTACTATTTGGATCTAAATATTGAATTCAAACTTGGATCCGAATAGGATCTGAAATTCAAGTTTTCAATCCAAACCAAGTAAATTCTCAGCCCTAATTTTAAGGATTAGGAATCTCTCCCTACTTAAAATCTTATGATGATGGGTACCATCAAAAGCAACTTCATCTTTTTTATGATTACATCCATATATTCTAAATGAAATTGACCCTTTCTTCAAGCCATAAAACTGTCACAATCGACTCTAGGTGCCTTTTTGCAATATTTATATATCACAAGGTATGGGACTTGCCCAATCAAATTTGCCCAACCAATGAAAATAATGTATTGAATTTAAAAATAGAAGCACAGATAGAAACATGCACTGAAAATTTAGAGATGTTTGTTACTTCCATTAGAATAAAATCCCATGAATTTAGCGGTTCAAACTGGCTAAAGCTGCCTTATTTGCTGTAACAGTCAAACAGTTTAAGCCTTTGGTGGACCATCACATTGATATTCCTTCCCTTTGTAGCAAGTTTCATTATGCATATCTTACGCTTGATTATAGCCAAAACTTAAGACCACATTAATGAAACATCATTCATATTCACTCTTTATATCACAACTAAATTTTGTCACATTCCAAATTATATTCTTCCAAATTTTTCCAAATAATTTGAAATTTAGAAAGCCATAATCCGAAAAGACAATATGATATACTCAATGGGGAAATTGCAGATAAGTTCCATAATTTTTAAGGCAAATTTTTTTTTCCCATGTATTTCAAACTTGGCATTAATAATTTGCTATCATCAACTTCACTCTCTCCAACAGCATAACAGTAATTATAACCTCATATTCCAAGAAAAAGGGGTACCTTTGTCAACCTCCAATCCTCATTTTTCGTCCCATTTCTAGCCCATACTGAGAAAATAATTTATATTCATGGTGGTTGTAACTGCATGCTCTCCCGCTCTCCACTTCTCTATAAAATACCTTATTCCATTCACAAATCCTCATCCCTCACTCAAGGATACCTTCCCTACAAACAGAAGGAAAATATGGCACCTTCCTCCCTTGCCTGTGCTTTTGCAATCCTTCTCCTTCTGACCATCCACTTCTCCTTCACTGCTGAGGCTGCAACACCTCCTCCACAACATGGAACCATTGGAGGAGGAGGAGGTGGAGGTGGTGGTGGTGGCGGCAGTGGAGGGAGTCACGGCGGATCAGGCTTTGGGTCTGGAAGAGGCGGTGGCTTTGGCTTTGGTTTTGGAGGTTCCACAGGTCGCGGTGGCAGTAGTGGTGGAGGTAGTGGTGGTGGTGGTGGTGGTGGTGGAAGTTCTGGCAATGGTAGTGGGTCAGGTTCTGGCGGCGGCAGAGGTGGAGGTCGTGGTGGTGGATTTGAAACTGTGGGTGGCAATTGAAGTTATTGTAAGTGCTAAGCTCATTATCATGGGCATATGGAAGTGTATGAATAAGGCTATTTGAGCTAATAATATAGCCTGGAAATAAATGATGAAAAATCAAGAAAATTATATATAAGCATTGATAATTCAGTAGCTTGAGCTCATTATGAATATTTGAAAAGTTTAATGTTGAATACCTTACACACATTATTTCTGGTCAATTTGGTCACACTTAATTTTGACTATTGGATGAGAAAGTAGGTAGTTGTATTAATTTCATTGGCCAAACTCAAAATTCAAAAGAAATTTTTTCGAACTTTATAACTAACCTACTATCGGATTTTATATCAGATGATTGTAAGTAATTGTAACCTCCCCATATCAAAAGTAAATAACCTCATTATCTGCAACCCCTTTTTTTTAACATCATTTCTTAATATTCTTGAAATAGTATTTAAACAATTAAGGAAGATCTAAAAATCATTATTAAGTATATTATAAGATCATATCTATGGCAACCCAAAGAAATAAAAAATAAGAGAATATCTTCAAGGTTAAGCTTTGCCTAAAGAAACTGCTGCTATTCTTATATCTAATGATATTGAGACGATACGTATAGAAACCATAGCACGAACGGCATGCTCCCACGTAAGCATATTACACGTTAACTCCCTCTGACGACTTTAGAAAATTTTATAATGTGAAATTTGAAATCCATCTAAGAATCCCGAAACAGATGTTTAATAAAAAATAATAATTTGGATTTTGAGTTGTATGACACATTACTTTTTTCAACCACGTATAGTGTGCAAACTCCAGGGACTAAACAGACAGTGTACTCTCATAGTAAAAAGAAATCATTTTACCTGAAGAAAATGATTAGGAAAATGGAGATATTAGATTGCCGATGCTTTTATGCAATGTTAGCCACTTAAGACGACGTCTTGGAGGGCTAGATATAAGTCTCCAAATAGATTTCAAAAGAGAAAAATTGTTGAACTTACTTGGTATAACCTAAAATTTTAGATTTATGAAGTTAAATATTTTATGTCTACCTGCCAATCCTATGAGAAAAAATATCAAATACATATATCAACAGTAGGGTTCTTTCTGAAAATGGTGGAAGAAGTGAAAGAATACTTCCTTTTTTTTTTAATGGAGGTATCTTTTTTAGATATTGACAACTTCATAGTTGTAATTTAAATCTTTTAAGGAAATATATTTAACTTTAACGAAATTAATTGTGCAACAAAATTATACATTTTTTTCTTTGAATCGTGCTCAATCCTTAAGATATACTCATTGATTTCAATATTACTTTCAAATAACAGGATATATCTTTCAGCCAAGTTAATAAAAATTTATCAATATTTGATCTCTTTTACTCATTACTCACCCAATATTCCTTAACTTTAAGGGTAGTCATCTTTTCATGTAACCTAAATGTGCATGGGAAGCTCCGCTCTATTAGTTGCTTCCTTTATCTAATTTCATAAATCAAACTTACCAAAACTCATTTCAAATTTCAGAAACAAATGAACATTTCCTTTCTTTTTGGGGGAATGATTTCATGCAACGGTTGTATAGTCGTATAATACAACCATCTTCTAAAACCATGTTAGAAACGTTTGTTTGACACGAATTTTAAATGTACACTCTTTTCATTTTGAAGAACAATCACAAAAAATAAAATTTTGAAAAAATACTATAGAAAGTTTTTATTCTAGCCCAATTAATATAAACCGTCCATTTTATTGAGATGGTTAGATATAGGCCTCAGAAGAATTTTTGTATTCCCAAAATTTTTATATAGCATTATCATCATTAGATTAATTATGCTAAAAATGAAAAAAGTGATTTTGAATTTGTTAAGGCCTTGATCTTGAATTCACTAAATGGATGGTCGAGATTCATTGTTGGATGGGTATTAATTTTTGACCATATCTAGGGTACAAATTGAAAAAAAAATTTATAGGATTGATTATGAGGATGAAGAGAATATGTGTGCAAAATTTGGGGTCATACAAATGCCAAAAATATGGTTTTCTAAATGTGCGGTTGCATTAGACTACTATACAACCGTTGCATTAGATCATTTTCCTTTCCTTTTTCTGAATTCCAGATCTGATATTTTGTGAACAATTTTTGGGCCATGAAATCTTAAGGAAACCCCCTTAATTATTTATATAATGGGATTGCCCCAAATTTGCAACTTCAGTTTGGAAACTTCATCCACTTCAAAATTAAAAACAAATATAAGAAGTAAGAACACTAGTTTTTTTTTTTTCATTATTTGTGTGCGTGTGTGCGCATTTGCGAGAAAGAAACTTATTTTATATGACGAATTACACTATTGCGTTGATTATAGTTCAATCAGGGCTTGCTTTGAATAAAATTCGCTTAAAGAAACCAATTTGTTTGTAATACTTGATTTCGACAATAAGCTGACATTAAGCTTAATGATATGGGCTAGATTTGTTTAAGCATAATACAAAGTAAATGAATCCCCAGCTACATGAAATGATGTTGGGTGCGGTTTCTGTAAGGTTGCAACTTTAAACAATCCAATTAAGGCGCACCTTCAAATTTTATCATAACATGTAATTTTGGTGTAAAAAATTCCTATGATTATCTCAAAATCAATTTTCAAAGCTAATTATAAAATTTTAAACTCTAAAAATAGTTAAAATGAAGTAGATCTATAAACATATGAAAATCTTAAAAATGGATGGTCTAGATAATGTGATGCAAGATGCACTATTTTTAGGATTCAAAATCTTTTTTTTTTTCATATTCATACATCTCGATCTTGAGATGATCAATTAGAGGGCTTTTCAACATTAAAACAACCTTTTCCGATAGAGTTTTGAGGTACATCTGTAGTTCTACATTTTTATGTTGCAACCTTATATAAACTTTTTCCAATGATATTTCACTCTTTCTCATAAGTAGTTAGCATACAAAATCAAAACTATAGTGAAAGATTGTCTATTGCTCCTGGATGGTTTTTAGTTGTTTTCATCCTAAGTTTTATTTAAGGTTTTAAATTTACAGTAATGTATCGTGGTCCATGTAAGTGGAATTCCGGTATATTAAATAAATAAAAATAAACTTTTAAAATTTACCTCGAGTTCCATATAGCCACTCCAATCATGAGTATTAGAGCCTCTATATTTTACTACCATAGTTTAGAAGTTTTTTATTTTTATTTAAATTTAAAAGCATGACGTCAAAAAGTTTCATATCTTTTAAGTAAGCATGTGTTTAACTATAGGAAAATTGTTTCATGCAGGCCGGACCACATTTCTACATATGAGGTCCAAAAAGTGTAAAGCATCCATCTTAAAGATGGATACAAGTAGGTTCTTCATTTAAAAACAATAGAAACTAGGGAAATTTTCATATAGAACCATAATTCTTTGTATTATTTTATAGTAGATCCTCCTTCCGTTTTCTTTCAAGCGGCATAGGAAAATCCCTAAACATTTCACCATATCCCCTCATCCTTTATCTCCCTCTTTTATTCACTTTTGATCATAAAAATTAGCCCCAACAAATATTTTTATACTATTTCAATTCAAATTTTTTTTAATGGGTGGAAAGGGAAAAAGAGGGTTATAAAAGTTTTTGATATGAAATGGTATAAAAAATATTTGTTGAGGCTAATTTTTATTGTCAACAGTCAATAAATGAGGGAGATAAGAGATGAGAGGTACGGTGGAATCTTTAGGGATGCCTTATGCTGCTTGAAAGAAAAACGGAAAAAGGGTCAACCACGAAATAATATGAGGAATTAAGGTTCTATACGAAATTTTTCCTAGAAACTAACGGTCTAAATTTTTTCTTAGGGCTGTGATTTTATTCAACGGTTGTATCATAGTATAATGCAACAATCTTAAAAAACCATGTTAGGGCTATTTGTTTGATCCAAATTTTGAAATATACACTCTTTTCATTCTAATGAATAATTACAAAAAAAAAAAAAATGAAAACGAAACCTGGAAAGTATTTTTTTAGCCCAATTAACATAGGCCGTCCATTTTGATAAGATGTTTAGATCTAGGCCTTAGAAAGATGTTTTCTTTCCAATTTTTTTAGATGGTTTTATTATCATTAGATGAACATTGTTAAAAAAAAAAAATGATATTGAGTTTGTAAAGGTTAAGATCTTGAAATTCATCAAATGAATAGTCTAGATTCGTTGTTGGAAGGGACTCATTTTGTCCATATCTAGGATTCAAATTGAACCTTTCTTTTGAGAGGGATTGATTATTGAGATGAAGAGAGTGTATGTGCAAACTTTTGGGTCATATAAATACCACAAATACATATAAATACCACAAATATGGTTTTCTAGAACTGTGGTTGCATTATACTATGATACAACCGTTGCATGAAATCACTGCCCATCCTTAAAAATTAAGTCTTAAAATCCACCTGCATTTCTATATATGTGGGCATGGCCGCATAGAAACCTGGTCGACAACTATAAGGCATCTCTCTCTCTCCCTCTTTCAAGCCATCATGACCGCAACTGCCTAAGTCTCTTGGAGGTAAAAATGAAGGCTATTTCTCAATATGGGATGCTATTTCTAAATATGGGATTATAAGCAACTTGGCCATTTTTTAATGAATCCATCCCTATATTTTAAACTCCCTATATTTTAAACAAAATTTGACCCTTTTCAATCCGAAAAATTGTCACAATTGACTCTAACCCGTTATTTGGAATTCTTATATTGAGGTATGGGTCTTGCCCATACAATTTGCCAAAGCAAGAAAAGAACAAAGGAAGATAGTTTTAAAAAGCCAAAAGAGAGAAAACTACAGTTACAATTCTTATTCATTTTGAAAAGAAAATTAAATAAAAGCAGTTTTGATACGCATTTATATAAAATTCCATAAATAACATAGCTAGAGCATACTACAACTGCATATTTTGGAGTACCAGTTACATAGTTTAAGCAATTGGTTATCCATGACGTAAATATTCCTACACTTCAGGACAAATTGTATATTGTATATGGGGATTGTATTCTATAAGACCATTCGGCTTTTTTATAAAAAGCCACAATTATTACTAGCTATTAGATGTCAAATTAGATAGTTTGAGGTGTATCACAAAACAGCCAACATTTGTTTTTTCCTTAAACTAGATTATGGCGACATGAGGCCATAAATAGGAAGCACCATGCCTTACCCTTTATACTACAAATTTAGCAACAAAAAAAAAAAAAAAAGCTCAACCAAACCGCTTCTAAAAAATAAAAATAGATATATTTTGATAATAAAATATGACCAAAATACTCTTATAAGTTATAGGGGTAATTGTGATTTGTTCTTATCATAAACATTTTTTTTCTTATTTTTATTAAGCTCACCCCTACCAAAAAAAGACACCCCAAATTTTATCTCAAAATAATTTATAAAAAAAATAAAAATCAAAGACTATGAGTCATCCAATCAAGAACAGTCGTTCAAGCACTAAATTAGAATATTATAACTGATGCTATACAACTGCCCAAGGGGTTACAAAATAAAAGACATTTCTCAATTCAAGATTTTAAGCCACTTGGTATACTGTACAATTAAAGTAAGGCGCACATTCAAATAGAGCTGAAATATATATTTTAAATACGAGAAACGTTTATGATGGTTTGAAATTTTATTTTCATCTCTAATTATAAAATTTTGATATTCAAAAATAGTAACGATCGAGCATATTCATGAACACTTAAAAATCTTCAAAATTAACTATCTAATTAATACTACTTTTAAGACTTGAAATCTATTATTAAGGTATATCTTAATTTAATTGTTTAGAGCCTCACCCTTATATAAACCTTTTCCATATATAAAAAGACATTTGGCCCCTTTTTTCAAGCCAATAAACCGTCACAATTGACTCAAAGAACCCGTTTCCATTCTTATATTCCAAGGTATGGGTCTTGCCCCCAATCCGGTTTGCCTTAACCAAGAAAAAATAAATAAATAATAATATTAAATTCAAAAGGCCAATAGGAGATAGAAAGTAGCATTGGAAATTCCAAAATATTTCCTTGTGTATAAAATCCTGGAAATTCTGAAATATTTCTAACTGAGTCTAAGTCGACTAAGTCGAGTTATGTCCACCCCCGAAAAAATGTCAAAAGTAATAAAATAAAATAAAGGCATTTAAAAAAAAAATAGCTAAAAAAAAAAGTTAAAAGAGTTAATAGAAATAATTAGAAGATTAAAGAAAATGAAAAATACATGCGAGATGAACTATTGAATAATTTGATTTATATTTAAAATTAAAAAATTAAGTAAAAAATAAAAATTCCCAAATCATTCTAAAAACTATCAAAATCATCTAAAAAATATTTCTAAACAATATATATAGGTGTTTTCTATGTTTTTGTATTTTTTTTATATTTTTTAGGATTTTTTTTTGGGTGCCAAGCTAGTTCCACGACCCAACTTGCCTAGCCACATTAATTTGACATTTTAAAGTCCAAAAATTATTCAGTAATTTTGCTTCTTCTTTTTTAGCAATAATAATTTTGCAATTAAAAAAAGGGATAATATCTTCATAAAACTCCTCACTCAGAATATCCCCATAAATATAATTTTCACTGAAGTAATTTTAAACCTTCGTTCTATAATTTTCCATCACCGTTCTATTATGATTTCTCTTTCCATAAACCCTGTAATAAAAACCACACTCACATACAAGAAAGGATCACTGTAACTGCATGATAGAACACCTGCGTGAGCCATTATCCTCTCTCTCTCTCGATCTCTTTTTTTTTTGAACGGCTCTTTCTCTCTCTCTCTACACTCAATATCTATAAATACCGACCACCCTTCTGATCCATTCCCACGTCTCAGTCTTCTAATCCCTCCGCTTTCTGAGAAAACCATGGCCCATTCCTCCATTCTCTGCGTCTCAGCTCTTCTCGTCCTGCTCCTTACCACCCAACTCTCCTCTGCTAACATAGCGATAGCACCCCCCTCTGCAGGACCTCCAATCACTGGAAGAGGATCTGCACCACCACTTCCAATCAGAGGAGGCGGAGGTGGGGGTGGTGGAGGCGGCGGCGGTGGTGGTGGTGGAGGGTCAAGCTCTGGTGGTGGGTCAGGATTTGGGTCTGGAACAGGAGGTGGGTCTGGCTCTGGCTTTGGAGGAGCAGTAGGTGCAGGAGGAGGTGGAGGAGGAGGTGGTGGTGGTGGTGGTGGTGGTGGAAGAGGTGGAAGAGGTGGACGAGGTGGTGGGTCAGGCTCTGGCGGTGGTAGAGGTGGTGGGTGCGGCGGCGGGTTCGCGAGTGTTGGTGGAACTTGAGCTTATTATGATCATTTTAATGGCACATATTATAAGCATATGCTTGTGATGTATGTATTGGCCACGCTATTGAAGTGTATGAATAACTGGACTTGAGCTAGTGTAATAGCTTGATAAGATATATGCCAAGAATAATATGAAGTTTACTATTCTTTGTCATTGTTCCTGCATTTTTCTTTTTTGTGTTTTGCTTTGCTTTAAATATCTTTAAGTTTTTCCCCTTTACCCTGTTTTTTTTTTTTTTGGATTTTTTAGTTCTTTCAACACGTTTCTATTAGTATTAACTTTTTATGACTCAAAAATTTTAGGTATAATATAAAATGCTCCGTTTATAGGTGGAGAAGGTCGGTCAATTTGTTTTTTAACTTTTTTCAAAATTAACCCTTCGTCAACCGAAATTTTATTTTATTTTTTAGTTTTTTTTTTTTTTTCTGTTAGTAGGGCAATGCTCCAAGCTTTAAAGCACGACCCTACAAATGAAAAAAAACTAAGAAAATAATAATAATCAAAATTCAGGTTGACTAAGGGGTAATTTTTTTAAAAAAAATAGGATTGACCGACTTTCTCTGTAATTTCTGCATATAAATGAAGCATTTCATTTTTTATCTAAAATTATAGAGTCCCTACGTAAATCACTCATAACTTTTTGATAATATTGTTTGTTCCTTCGTTACAAGGGAATATAAGATGCATTTCGTATAATGGTACAGATAGAGCAAAATTATAAACACTTGAAAATTTTGTAAATAAATAGTACGGAGAGCTTGTTACAAGATGCACTTTTTTTAGAACTTGAATTTTATTTATTTTTCTTCACATCCATACATCTTAAAGTCGTCGAAACAATTAATTGATAGGTTTTCCTATGTTGGAACACTCTCTTCTTCCAATATAAGCTCGATCCAAGGGTCCTTCACTATCATCCCCATGTCCAACATACTGCTCTACAGCCCTACACTTTCCAGCATTGGTTTAGAACCTAAAATCGGGTTTTGGATCTCCCATCTACTGTATCGATCCGGATTGGCTGAACTAGAGGAAAATCTGTTAGAAATAAATAAAAAATAAAATCGAATTTGTTCGGTAGTAGAGACCCAAGTCGCCCACCTACCTACCAAATCCATTCCATATTGACAATCCAAATCACATGGTTTTCAAGGCCCAATGTCGAGTATAATCGAGAGCAAGTTAGAAAGAGGTGTACCCAGTAAATGAACCCAGAGAGAGAAAATCGGGAAGAGATGAACCAGCAATTGAAGAAGAGGCGAACCAATAAATGAAGCCATTGTTTCTTTGTTTAAATATCTTGAGCATGCAAACTTAGGGTTTGTCACTTGGTAAAAAGCTCGGATAGTCAATTCAAGAATGTTGGTTTCGAGTCATGAAAACAATTACTTTATACATAAAAAGCCAAAACGTTGGAATCGTTTCCATCTCACTTTTCTCGAAATCGTTTCCATCTCACTTTTCTCGAGACTTTGCATAAGTGGGACGAGCACCGGGCTATAGCCCTTTTATGCACCCTTGTCTTTTGATTTATCTTTCAGTGAAGGAGCATCTTGTTATTCTTTTTTTCTTAATGGTTCTATGGTGTATGATGCACCATAGGCGCGTCTCATGTTATATTCTCAATGACGGCGATGGGACCTATGGTTAAGAAAATATACACAATAAGACCATGTATTTATGGTACAAGAAGATCACAATCATTATTGACATTCGATATCAAATTGACTTTGGATTCAACCCTTACCCAAGATGAGTTTCTCAGTCGAGTCGAAGTAGATTGGGTTGAGTAATGTGCAGGGTCCAAAAAGCCCTATAAATAAAAACTCTAAAATAGTGTTAAAAATAAAATAAAATTTGAAAAGTGAATCAAAACAAAAAACAAGATAAAAATTTCAACTATGCTAAAAAAAAGCATAAAATATGTGTTTAGAAAATTTAATTTATGATTAGAGACATTTCAAAAAGATCCATAAAAAGAGGAAAAAAAATACATCTTGTAACATAAAAAACTCACAAATCACTATAAAAAACGTCCAAGTTACATATATAATTTTATACATTAATCCTAAAATTTATATAATATTTATTTTTATTTCTATTTTTTTTTGAATGTGCCCGAGTTTTACCAATTGCTCAACTTGGCAAGGGGGCGAGTCCGAGTAAAATAGCTGAAACCAGGTAGACTCGGCCGAGTATGAACACTGGTTCATCTTTTTGTTAAATCAAAAGAGATTAGTCTTAGGTACCAATGATGGACATTCTTTCAGATCCGGGTATAACGAACATCCACCGTCTATCGTAACAAATGGATGGTAGGTAATCCCGTGCTGTACGTACCCAATGGTATGTTGAGAAATAGTCTTATTGTATACATCCAAAAAAAAAAAAATATCAACGAGGGTTTTGCCAAATGTTATCAAGTTTGCTTTGCTTCAAAGTATTTGGATTTTTTGCCTAAATTTTTTTAAAAAAAAAGTTTTGAATTTTTTGTTATGAATTTTTTATTATTTTAATATATTTATATATATATATAAGTATATATTTTATTTATATTAAATTTTTAAAAGAAACTCAAAGTTTTTCTGAAATCAACCGAAACACCAAATTACTCTATTTTTCTGACCAACTGAATAAGGCTCCGAAACGAATCTAACAATATTGGTTTCGCCTTTCGAATAAAAGACTATAAAAATATTTTAAGATTCCTAATAATTGAGCCAAACAGAAAACGAAGCACCGGAAATTTTGACTAACGTAAACATGGAAATGCAGTCGAGTAATTCTGGTATTTGTTCAAAAAAATACTAAATTTTCCTTAAACTCGGGTGGCGGGGAGTGGTCAAAAGGTCCATGTTTTATGTAACAGTCAAATGGTATGAATACATGGAGATTATGATCCAAATTGCCCTCAACTTATAGAAAATTACTTGATGAAATTTTACCAAAAGATTGCTTCTTCTTTTTTTTTTGGCTTAAGTCACTCCTACACATGTGAAAATATACATAATCTTAGAAACAAAGGAAAAGAGATACAAAATTAGATAGAGAGATAATTTTAGTGAGGCCCATTGTAAATATTACATCACGTAAGGAACAAAAAAAAAAATTGAAAATTTAGTAAGACATTGAACATAGCTGGGAGAAATGGGGGCGATTTAGTTAAAATTTTGGCTGTTAATGCCGGATATTTTAAATAATTACAAGGATTAACTAATTTAGTACCTAAATAAATTGGGTAAGGTTTGTGTAAGGTGTCAACCTTAAGAGGCACCTCAAAATCTCATTAAAATATATATTTCCGGTGAAAAATTCTTATTCTAGCCCAAAAGTCTATTTTTCGCCCCTATAATGAAATTGAAAGATCCGATATGGTGCAAATCTAGTAGATCTAGCACTAAAGTTTTTTTGAAAATATACGGTCTAAATAATGTCTTACAAGATGCACTATTTTTAGAATTTGAAATTCATTTTTTTTTTTCATAATTATATATATCAAGGTCAAGATGATCAATTGGAGAATTTTTCTAGTGACAAAATAACCTTTTTCGATCGTTTTTTAGGTGCACCTTACCTCAACAATATGAGGCTGATACCTTGTATAATTTTTTTTCAAAAAAATTTCAAGCCAAAACAAATAATATTTTTACTTTTAAATAAAAACAAGTATTATTAGTTTTCTGATTTTTTATTTAGAAACTTCACCAAGAACAAATAATACTTTTTTATTTTTACAAACAAATAATGTCTTTCTTTCATCAATGAGTAGCATTTACTATGGATGAATTCTAACACCCGTCTTTCTTATCTGCATGGGTGGTAATGGTTCCAGACCCAATCCAAGTCCGGGTATGACTGCAAAAATTAGACCCAACATGTCGGGTCTAGATCCAAATTTTGAACTGAACACTATTCCTATTCGAATCTAGATCTGGGTCCAGGTCCGGTCCCACATTATGTTTTCATGTCCAAATTTATAAAATATATTTAAATATATAGATATTTTAATTTTTGAAATCTAATCAAGGCCAATTGGGTCCGGGTCTAGGTCCATATCCCACATTATATTTTGAGGTCCAGAGGTCTATATCCAGCCCAAACCGCCACCCCTACTTATTTGATCGTCCACGAATATTGAAGACAATCTCTCTCTCTCTCNNNTCTTCTCTCTCTTTTCTATATATATATATACTATATATATACTATACTATACTACTACGTACTACGTACTACTACTACTACGTA